ATGATTCATGGCAAGTACCTACTAGCACCAAAAACATAATCCGGATAAGGCCGATATACTTGCGCGCGCGATTTTCGTCACATAATTCAATTGCCATAATGGTTGACACAATGGCGTCTACGTTCAGGGTTCTTGGCTGTGCAATGCTGGATCAAGCCTCATCCATGACCCTGACGGCCCTTCGTCGGTATCGTGCTGTCTTTGGCATCTCGCCCGGGTCAACAAGCGTAACATGGTCGTTGACGGATGCTACTCGGCCTTCAACATCGCGTCCGAAGCACCTTCTCTGGTGCTTGATGTTTTTGAAGGTCTACGCATCCGAAGGCGTCCATCGTTGCTTATCAGGTGCCGATGAGAAGACATTTCGCAAATGGGTTTGGCTATGGATCGATCTACTAGCCAACTTACGTGTGGTACTTGTGTATAACATAACACAACTAATTATGTAATAGATTGTGTGGGATCGACGGTTTGAACTCAGTCGTCCCCATGATCGAGCATTCGTTTCATTGGATGGTACCGACTTTCGTATCTGGGAACCAGTACTGTACGACCGCAAGTGGTATTCCCACAAATTTCATGGAGCTGGGCTACGCTATGAAGTCGGTGTGTGCATGCGAACTGGCAACATTGTCTGGGTCAATGGAGGCGTACCATGCGGCGAATGGCCAGATTTACGGCTTGCACGTGATTCGTATGTTCATTGTGTGCGCCAAGGCGAGATCACATATGCTGACAAGGGTTACCGTGATGCCAAATACATCTACTTCAATCACGCTGCAATGGCGAACCCTCAACAGCACAATGATATCATGTGTCGACACGAAACGGTGAACAAACGGTTGAAGCAGTTCAAGATATTGGGTGGTGTGTTCAGGCATCCCATACACCTTCATTCCCGTTGTTTCCATGCCGTCGCAAATTTGACCCAAATCTCATTGGAAAATGGAGAGCCGCTTTACAGCATTTAACATAATGCATTACTAGTAATGTCTTTGATTTGGTTTGTTTAATAGCTCACACATTCATACAACAGTAGAATTCCGTATTTCCCTCATCTCCCAGTGTACGACTTTCGACGAATTCAAGGGTCATTATACCTGGTACAGTACATGTATGAGCAGCAAGAGTTCCAAATACCCCGACGTCGGACCATATTCGACGTTGTTGATCGTGTCGGAATAATGCTGGTTTGACGATGTTTATCGTCCCAAACCAAGGTATAAATGTTTGTTTCATGCCATTAACCGGACAAAAGGCCGATGTAAATACACTGAATACCTTTCGAATTCAATTTTTAGGTATAAAACTGTTTTATATAAACAAATAAAAAATTAGGAGAGTCACAAAAGCTAACTAGGAGTATAATTATGGCAAAAAGAAGTGACCAAAGCTAGGCTAGAAAAGCGGACTAAGCTTACAGTATGTCGACTACAACTATTTCAAGATATAGTGCTAAACCCGTGATTTGACACGATAAACGACGTGATTTTTGCAATATTCGTACACGTTAAACGACAGGGGTTTGGTGTTGACGAGGTGCCAAATACAGTACGTACAGTTATGTAGGTCAACTGTTTCGCACGCAAGGTGTACAGGGTGCACGTCAGCTTGCCCTGCTCGAATGCTGCAAACTCATACAACTACGTTCGAAACGTTGAACGCTCTCTTCACCATATCGTTAGGTGCGCAGTGCTTCCGATGCAAGAAGTACCTACCCCCCAGATGCTGAAGAGTGCGAACATGCCGCCGTTCGCAGGTCCATCCTTCTCTTGATCTTACAGAGGACGGGTGAAGTCCCTATGGTTACAGTATTGCACCTTGATGAACTGATGGGAACTCCAAAAATAACCATTGCGGATAGAGTAAAGTTCATACTGGATTTGAACTCGTGGCCGAGAATAGAGTATACTCCAGAGTAGTTAATATTGCTAATAATAGTATGGTGCATTTCATCTAAAGACTACACATCGGCCATCCTCAGGAGGAGACGTTTTACTATTAAACGCCTCGGTTATTTCAGTTATGCCCACGTAATGTTGACGTTAAATTATTTTTACTTCCGTTTTTTATCTGGTAAATAGGTTAAACATCCTGAATAATCCGGATACAATGGAAACGTTCAT